GGACCAGTCCCTGGAGAAAGACAACATGCTTGGTAAAGTAGAGGGTCAGCGAAAAAGAGGAAGACCCCCAACCAGATGGACTGGCACAGCGTCTACACAACGGGCTCAAACATGACAATAATGGTGCAGGTGGCGTGTGACCAGACTCTATTTCATTCGTGCATATGAGCATTATGGGTTGGAATCAATTCCAGAGACCCTAACAGTAATAACATTATTCCCATTGCTATGGCTCATCCAGCTGCATCTCTGGGTGGTCCTTGGCTGGACCCTTGGTAGATTCTCAATGCCAGCTTCTTCAAGGGATAAATAAGTGAGTGAATGTATGAATGGTAGATGCAGACTTTAGAAATATAAGTCAGCCTATTAAAAAGTTAAGATAAAAGGTAGAATGCTTTTCTCTGGCAACAGCTCACCACAGTACAACCAGCTGCCGGGTAATTCAGTTCAAAGCACAAAAATGATGCTTTTGCTTTGAGTGAAAATTAATCAGGAACGTCAAGGAAATTGCAGTGGCAAGTTCATTAGCAACTTTGGCTGGGGAGCCTCATTGGCACCTTGCAGAATTGAAATTAAACCATGCGTGAGAACTGCAAAGTTCTGATAACAGTAACCCTGTGGCAGAACAGATACATAAAAAACCACAGACTATTGTAAGAAAGCCAAGATCCAATGAATTTCAATTTCTTGTCACCTAGAAAGAATAAATTTCACTGCATTTAACACAGCCACCAAGAGGAGCAGAGAAGGAAATCTGTAAGGTAAGTAATCCTCTGAGACCAGAAGACCTAGATGGTGCCCGGCTAACACTATCAACACATTACAAGGTCCTGGATTGTTGCTGTTGTTGTTGTTAAGTGCCATTGAGTCGATTCCAACTCATAGCACCCTGTATAGGGTTTCCAAGGAGCAGTTGGTAAGCCTGAACCACTGACCTTGCAGTTCAAACAACTTTGTAGTCTGATGCATTAGTTAACAGCACCACACCAAGACTCCCAGGTCCTGGATGGAGTAGGCAAAAAATGTGGGAACAAAAATTACTTTAAACAAGACCAGGTTTTCTGGTCTGATAGAGACGGTGGAACTCCTGAGATTGGCTTTAGATATTCAGAACTGAACTCATCCCTGGAGATCCGCTTTCATCCAATAGCCAGGTCTATAAGGTGCACAGTAACCCTGGGAGATACGCACTCCTGAGAACAATCAACTACACCAGATCAAAAGAGCAGCGTTTGCCCAGACATAACGCTCAGAAGATAGGAAGGACTAGGAAATGGGGAACAGGATTGTCAGGATTCTGATCAATCTCACAAAATAAAATGTGTATGAATTGTTGAATGGAAAACCAATTAGCTCTGTAAACTTTCACCCAAATCACAATAAAAAGAGTTTTTAAAAAACAAACAAACAAGATCACTGGCTATACCAGAACCTGGGACAGCATTTCCCTCAGAGCCGCAAAAGGAATTAGCGCAGCCAACACCTTGACTCTGAACAGTGATAGAACGTATTTCTGTTCCTGTAAGCCACTCAGTTTGTGGTACTTTGATACGTCAGTCCCAGAAAAACAGTACAAGGCAAACAGCTACCTCAATCTGCCCTCAATGTTAGCCAGAAGGCTGGAGGTTCGAAACCACCCAGAAGCGCCTCAAACGCACACCTGACAATCTGCTTCTGAAAGCTCACAGCCACAGAAACCCAACATAGCCGGTCTACTTCACACATGTGGGGTCGTCATGAGTCATAATGGACTCCCCGGCAGTTAACAAAGCAGCGACAGCGAGACTGGTAACCAGCTCACATGTGCTGAATGAAGCTGAATGCAGAACACCAGGGGTTCATCGTACCGCTCCCCTGACAAACGTGCTGGTCCCTGAAATTCTAGTGCACACAGGATGTTTACAATGAGAGGCTTCTTCTTAAGCCGGAAATCTGGTGCTGGGAGAGCGGCTATGTGGGCAAGAGTAGATGCCACTGGGGGAGAGCGTATGGCCCAGCGAGTTTGACGCCATCGTTTCCACGTTGTTTGGGTTTTACCTCTCGTGTTTCTGGATGAGGCGGGTCAGCTGGGTGGCAGCGGTGTTGAGGAGGCCTTGGGCACGGGCATGAGATGACTGCATGTTCTGCGCCAGGTACTTTCTGTGGCCAAATCTCTTACTTAGATGATATCTCTTGGTTGCCTGGAAAAAGTCCATCAACTCTTCCACATTGCCCTTTAAAGAGAAAAAAGCAAAGAAATCGAGAAATGACGCTGAATGAACACTTAAGAGAAAATTCAGTCGAGACATTAAATTTTTCATTCTTCCTTTCAGAAGAAAATAACACTGAAAAAAGAACTGTGGGAATTAAAACTTTAAACCTCCAAGTCCTTAGCAAAGGCTTACAAGAAAATGGCACACAAACAAGAAAGGAAACCCTAACTGGCTAGTTACTTTCACATCAGTTCCGACTCAAGACGCCCCCCACGTGTGTCACAGTAGAACCGTACTCCGTGGGGTTTTCAATGATTGATATGTCAGACGATCACCAGGACTTTCTTCTGAGCAACTCTGGGTAAACTCAAGCCTCCACCCTTTGAGTGAGCCGTCAAGTGCAGTAACCAACCATTCACAGCAGCCAGGAACTCCAGCAAGAGAAGAGGGCTTAGGCAACCGTGAGTCCAAAGAACTAACGGAACACACATACCACACACAGCCTCCACTACCCAGAGAGCAGAAGAACTAGACGGTGCCCGGCTGCCACTACTGACCACTTGGAACAGGACCACAAGAGGTCCTGGGCGAATGGGAGGAAAATGTAGACCAGAACTCAAAACCATACAAAAGGGCAGACTTCCTGTTCTGAGAGGAACTAGAAGAACCCTAAGACTGTGGTCCTTCAAACTTGGAACTGAATCCACCTCAGGGATCTGCTTCAGCCAAACAACAGAAAAGTCTATGAAGCGAACAGTTAACACTCACAGGGAACAATCAACCATGTGAGACTATGGGGGCAGTGTTTGCCCAAAAACCAAAGCTCAGAAGGCAGGAAGGGGCAGGAAAGAAGGACAGAAGGACGGGGGAACCCAGGGAAGAATGCCGTTATATGGAAAGCATCACAACCAATGTTACAAGACAAAATATGTATCAATTGTTGAATGGAAAACTAATTGGCTCTGTAAATTTTCAGCCAAACCTCAAAAAACAGGAAAACAGAGGATGGGGTGGGAAGAGATTGGAGAGGGCTTTAAACAATAAATGCTAGTAGGTCCCAGTGGTTCCGGGTTATCAAAACAACTCTGCTGCCCTGAGATGTGAAGTGGACTTTGCATTCCTTTGGTCATTCATCCATCCACCCCTGTGCGCAATCAGCCCTGAAAGTCCCCACCAGGACTAAATGTCCAGGATCAGTCAGTGGCCTGACCCCAGAGTCTTACAGGAGACAAGACAGACACCATGGGGAAAAAACTGAATGAACTCAACCAAGTATGATTACAAACTGGGCTGCTAACCGCAAGGTCAATGGTTTGAGTCTAGCAATCATTCTGCGAGAGAAAGATGAGACTTTCTGCTCCCATGAAGATCTACAGCCTCAGAAATCTTACACAAGATCGCTAAGAGTAGGAACAGACTCCACGGCACACCACCACCCCCCAGTAAGAGCCTTTGGGTGTTTTCTCTGGATCAGAAACTAGGCCAAGAGCTACACATACCTCATCTAAGTCAATCTTAAGAGAGTACTATTACTCCCACTTCACAGGTGAGGAAACTGAGTCCACGTCACAGCTGGTAAAGGGCCGAGCAAAGATTCTGAGCACAGCCGTCTAACTGTGGGCTCCAGAACATCAGCTCGAACCATTTATTTATAGAAAGAATCTGATGCTGTGTTTCTTTATTTACTGTCACAGGTTTGATTTTTAAATTCTCACCTTCCATGAGGGAGACCTGGGTGTAAAGTTTAGTGTCACCCACAGCCACTACCTGTCTGGAGGCTGGCGTGGTGCTATGGTGCTGAACAGGTGTCGACAGAGTGTCCAGACAGAGAGAGAGTAGGAAGAAAGGGCTGGTGATCTGGTTCTAATCAGCACTCTGTCTCATTGAGCTAACTCAATGGGAACCAACAGCAACGAGTTTTCAAAGGGAAAACCTCAGCCAAAATGGAAAGACGAGCCGTTCCCTTTATGTTCTGGATTTCTTCTGAGAGTGTCTGTCTCATGCTGAAAGCTCCTCGTAATTTCTTGGCCTCCTCAGCCCTTTCTCACTTAGCCTGTGACCAGAGCAGGCACTTGCTGTGGTTGTGTCTCCCCTGGGGAGAGCAGGGTCTACCTCTGCCTGGCGTTTATTATTTATTAAGGAGTGGAGTTATATGGCTTCATCTCCAGGACCTGAACACACACCGAGGCAGGACCACCCGTGCCCGCATCCACCTGTGTTTGGCTCCAGCCGTAAGGAGGTGCAGCCCGATTTACCCTACATGGACATGCTCACGCTGTAGTGACTGGATCCTTCCAGGGCAAGGTAGAACTTCAGAGAGGAGTCCTGAAGGCTTAGTGAATAGAGCAGCCAGCTGCTAACCCAAAGGTCAGTGACTCAAATCCACCCACCGCTCTACAGGAGAAAGACGTGGTCGTCTGCTTCTGCAAAGACTGACACCCTAGAAACCCACTGGGGTAGTTCTTCTTGGTCCTTAGGGTCGCTATGAGTTGGAATCAACTCAACAGCCGTGAGGATTTTGTTTTTGTTTTAATGTACCCAGCAAGCCAGCTGTCTGGATTTTTTTTTTTTTTTTTTTACATCCAAAGATAAAATGGAAATCACAGTGGCTTCTACATCAGAAAAAACACATTTGTCTGGAACCACAGTTTTGCATTCATACAGGGAACACAAGAATGGACTGAGGACCATGTGGCACATCTGCAGCTATCGGTTGGAGTGCGCCAAACAGCACCCAGGTTTCCACAGAGGGGGTCCCCTGGCTATTTTATAATCAGAGATTTAGCTTGTACACTGAAAGAGGCAGTCTGTGGGGGCAGCATCATCTGCATTTCTCAAATACGCCATTCGTCATCCGAACACAAATGTTACCATCACCACCCCTTACAGCCAGTTCCACGCGTCAAGTGGGAACCTCGGGAGCAATGGATGAATCGTGTAATGGCATATCTGCGTTTTGACTGGATGTGTGCAGGACTGAGTGTCTCTTGCATGTGCATGCAGGTAAATGTCTCACGACGGCCCCATAAAGTGCCACAGTGATGTTGACAGCTTCAAGTAAACAGGTTTTGCATTTGTCTAGGAATTGGTTCAGTCTGGGTGGATATAGTCACAATGAGGCTTACATGTGGAAATACATACCAATGTATTCAGGCACATCTAGACATACATCCCAAACTCTACTAGGGTTACATCGATGGCTATTACAGACATAAAGAGACATATCAAATTCCCACTATTGCCCAATCTCCCTGAACTCAGAGACCCTGAAGTACAGAGAACTGCTTCAAAGCACTTGCAAGGTTCTAAATTTTTACAGAACCAAACTATCAGATCTTCCTCCTGCAGAGAGTCTGGTGGGTTCGAACCACCGACCTTTCAGTTAGCAACCCAGTACTAACCCACTGTGCCAGCCCAGAAATACAGACAGACACACAAACAAACATATATGCCCACCACTCGTCTATCACTATGGTGACTTGCATGTTGCCATGATGCTGAAAGCTAAAGTATGGGTATTTCAAATGCCAGCTGGGTCACCCATGGTGGAGTTTCCAGACTAAGAGAGATTAGGAAGAAAGAGCTGGTGATCGAATTCCAAAAACTGTTGCTGTTGTTATTGTTAGGTGCCATCGAGTCTGTTCTGACCCTGAGTATAACCAACCAAAATAGTGCCCGGTCCTCAGCCAGCCTCACAATCATTGCTGTGTTCGGGCCCATTGTTGTAACTATATCAATCCGTCTCCTTGAAGGTTTTCCTCTTTTATTCTGGCCCTTTGCTTTTCCAAGCATGTCTAGAAATTAGCCAATGAAAGGCTTATGGGTCACACCAGAATACTGTCTGACTCACTTGTTTTGGATGCACTACTTGGAGGGATCCGTCATTGGAGAACATCATGCTTAGTGACGCAGAGGGCCAGCAAGGGTGAGGGCGAGCCTCGGTGAGATGGACCGGTACACAATCCACAGCGATGGACTCGTGAGTGCTGGTGATCACGTGGGGGAGTTGGGAGTGGGCCATTCTCTTGGACAGGAGGTCACCATGAGCCAGGTCAGGCATGGCAGTAACTCCCCAGCCCCCTCAGTCATTTGCTATAAATATGAAGCTCTGGCTGCCATGAACCAGCTCCCACCGGGTTCCTCACACTCCCATGAGTACAGGCACTGTATTAGCCCCCATTTTACAGAGGAAGAAACTGAGGCTTAGAAAGGCTAGGAAATTTGCTTAAGTCCCCACATTGAATGGGTGATGGAGGTAGAATTCAAATCCAGTTTGCCTTGTCCCAAGGCCCATGTTCCAAGCCCAGCTTTATCCTCCTTATTGGAGACCCCCAGCACACATGCACGGCCAGAGGCAGGTAGACGAGAAGTCAGCCCACTGGTGTCGCAAAAAAACCCCAGAAACGACTGCAGATGATACTGTCCACGCTAGCGCCTTACCTGGATGTCGGCGTAGGCTTGCAGCAGCATGTGTGCCGCCTCTGGCTTCAGGTCCCCTTTGAGAAGAGCGCCTTTAATTTGGGTGAAAAAGAGTCTGTGCAGCTCGCATCTCTGGAAGACGGCCAGCTGCCGGTGCGCCTTGGCCAAGTCTTCCTCTTGCCGCAGGGCTAGTGTCCTCTGCAGGTGTTCCTGCTCCAGGCTGTGCAGGGTTCGCAGGAGGCTGCTGCACTCAGCTGCAGCCTGCAGAGAGAAAAGCGGCCGCGTGAGACACTGGCCCAGTGAACATGAACACAGGTGCACAGAGGTCCACACAGGGACACACAGGTCCATACAAGTGTGCACACCCACACAGGTGCACATCCCCCTACACAGGTGTACACTCTCACACAGGTGTGCACATGCCCACACATGTGCACACTCTCACCCAGGTGTTCACACGCCCACACAAGTGTGTCAACACACACACAGGTGCACACACCCACACACAGGTGCACCAGTGCCCACACAGGTATACACACACCCACACAGGTTCGCTGACACCTACACAGGTATAAACACAGATGCATACATGTTGACACAGATGTACACTCTCACACAGGTGTGCACACACCCACAGAGGTGTACACATGCCCACGCAAGTACACACAGACATGTACACATGCACACATGTACAAACATGCCCACAAAAGTGTACATTCTCACACAGGTGCACACATGCCCATACAGGTACACACACACAGAGGTGTGCACATGCCCACACTGGTACACACATAATGTGCACATACCCACGCAGGTGCACATAGGCCCACACAGGTATGCACTCTCAAAGTTGTGCACATGCCCAAACAGGTGTGTACTTACACAGGCACATTCACAATAGATACACGTGCACACATACACAAGTGCGTACACATGAACATGGAGACATGCACACACATGGGTACATTTGCACTCGGCACACAGAGATACATGGACATGGGTACACACATGAGCAATGAACACAGGCACATATGCGCACATGCACACAGGTATGCACATGGGCACACATGGGCTTATAAACACATGCACACATGGGTACATGGAAACAGGTATGCACACATGTGCATTGAATACATGGGGATATGGACACAGGTGCATGCAGGCAAAGAATATACGGACATGTATGTGCACATGGACACCAGTACACATGTGTGAAACACACATGAACATAGGTGTGCACACATGCAATTAACACATGAACACAAGTATGCAATGCATACATGGGTACACTGACACAGGTACCCATGTGTGACAGGCACATGAGTACATAGACACAGGTATACACATGTGCATTGAACATATGGACACATGTATTCAAACATGGCATCTGGACACAGGTATGCACGTACAGCAAACATATGGACACAGGTACACACATACCCACATGGGCACATAGACACAAGTACACACGTGCAATGGACACACGTATACACATGAGCCATGAACACATGAACAAATACATACACACAGGAGCACAAGCACACACATGTGTATGGAACACCTGAGCACATGTACATACATGCACAGTCACATGTGCAATAAGCAAATGGATCCATGGACACATATGCATGCATGGGCACAGGCATAGGCAAAACACTACACACAAGTGTTCACATGTGTACAATTATGCACACGACGAGCACACATGTATATGTGTGCATGGCAAATACATGACACACTTTCAAAGGCATGTGTGCAATACACCCATATGGTGGGCACAACACACACACTGCACACATGTAAGTGCACGCAGGACAAACAATCCACACACGGCACACTCACACACACGTAAGCACACATACATACATGTGCACACAGGTTACACAATGCACACACGTAATCTCATATACACACAGTACACAGTGCACATACACCCACTGGATACATAATCCACACACGGCACACTTACATCCATGTATGCTCACACATGCACACATGATACACACTACACACCCATGTACATAGACACACAATCCACAAATGGCACACCCCTATATGCACATGTGCACACAGATACACACATAATGTTACAAGGTGACAATGACGAGGCTCCTGGGTCCTGTGCCATGCCCCCACCCCACTACCCTGTTTTCCAGAACAATCTCAAAAGCAGGAAATTCACCAGGGTGGAAATTTGCAAAGCAAACTGCCTGGCAATAACCTGCCCAAGTGGAAATCTCTGAAACCTCACGGCATCATGCTGTTAGGCTTGCGAGATGATTTCCATCCTCTTTCATTCTTACTGTAGGTGAGGAGAAAAGCACTAGTAATCAAGCCCAAATTGAGATCATTTGAGGTAAAAAGAGAAGCAAAGGAAGTGTTAAGAATGCTGGCTTTTTATGTGGTGCAGTCCAAGGAAAGCAAAGGAGGAAAGAGGGAACAAATCCTTACAGCAATTATCATTCCCACCCCCTCCACACAGAGTAGACAGGGATGGGCAACTTGGACATTGGCTACCCAAAATAGGGGGCTACAAAGGCAATAAGTGACTGGCTTACAAGCTTTCAAGAGGAAACCTAGATCCAGAGGGTGTGAAGGAAGGTAGAATCTACTGAGCAATATCTAATCTGTCTAGGCAGGGCTGATGAAAGGAGATGGGGATAGGTCTCTTGTGATACAATAGTGAATAATTGTTATCAGGACTGACTTTGAGGGTTGGACATGTAAAGGTAGACATTTTGTAGCAAGGAGGGGAGTGATTAACTTTGCAGTCTAGGAGCAGAGTCCCTGGGACCATCAAGGGAAAAGAGCGGAGAGAGGGACCTACCCAGAGAAGCAGTGATGCCTGATATGGAGGCTGAGACGATGACGTGGAAAGATGGAGCAGCTGGGGACTTTAGACCCAGAGAGGGAGAGGGGATGTGTGCTGACGACCGAGGGGCAGGTTTGCAGTGTATACCCTTTGGTTGGTTGATGATGCATGGAGGGGATTATAACCACGGCAATGAAACAATATACAATAGGATGAATGTAAAATTAATATTTTCCCATGTAAACTATCAAATAATTCACAATAAAACATTTTTTTTTAAAAAAAGCATCAATTCTTCTACCGTCTTCCTTATTCACTGTCCAGCTTTCACATGCATATGAGGTTATTGAAAATACCATGGCTGAGGTCAGGTGCACCTTAGTCCTCTAGCTGACATCTTTGCTCTTCAACACTTTAAAAAGTTCCTGTGCAGCGGATTTGCCTAATGCAATACGTCGTCTGATCTCTTGACTGCTGCTTCCGTGAATGTTGATAGCTGATCCAAGAAGAATGAAGTCCTTGACAACTTAAAAATGTTGTTTATTGGTCCAGTGGTGAGGATTTTTGTTTTCTTTATATTGAGATGCAATCCATACTGAAGGCTGTGCTCTTTGATCTTCATTGGTAAATATTTTAAGTCCTTTTCACTTTCAGCAAACAAGGTTGTATCATCTGTATATCGCAGGTTGTTAATGAGTCTTCCTCCAATCCTGATGCCACGTTTTTACTCATAGAACCCAGCTTCTCAGATTACTAGCTCAGCATACAGGTTGATTAAGTATGGTCAAACAATACAACGCTGTCACACACCTTTCTTAATTTTAAATCATTCAGTGTTCCATGTTCTGTTTGAAGAGCTACAACGATTAGGTTACATTACATGGCAAAGGTGTGGGGCTTCTGAGACAATCTGGGGCCACAGAGGCCAGAAGAAACCCTGAAATTAGCACCTTGAGATCTTCTATAAACCTCAAATATCAACGCAAACTTTGAAGCAAACAACAGTTCAGCTTCTTTAGTAAAGTATGTCTGTCTTGAGATGTGTGCTCGCTCCTGTGTGTGAAGAAATTAACAACAGCCAACTCGAAAGGTTCGATGAGAAGCTCAGCAGGCAGTGAATTTATGTCAATGGCGGTAGAACAATTAGAACTCAGAAAAGGTGGGGGAGGAGGGTGGCACAACTTATAAAACGGCGTCCATGTCACTGAATTCTATGTTAAGAATTCTGTGTATAAATATGCTGTGTATATTTTCACAAAACACACACTAATGGAGGACTTGACCAATACAAAGTTCTTAAGCACGTGACTTTGAGATCCTCAGAAGGAAGATTACTGGGTGGACCTTCCTAATGATACATCCTACTCCTGTTGACCCTGAAGACTCTGTCTGGTTGTAACCCGCCCAGAAAGGGGGGCAGACACTGGGAGTTGAAGACCCCTATCCAGGAACTTTGGAGGCCTTGGAGGCCAAGATGGCTAAACTTCGTCTCTCATACTTTGGACATGTTGTCAGGAGAGAACAGTCGCTGGAGAAAGATGTCATGCTGGGTAAGATGGAGGGTCAGAGAAAAAGAGGAAGACCCCCCAATGAGATGGATCAGCCAAGTGGCATCATTGATGGCGTCAAGTGTGGCAGCGGTAGTGAGGTTGGCCCAGGATCTGACATTGTTTTGTTTTCCTGTGCATGGGGTCGCTATGAGTCGGTTCTGACTCGATGGCACCTGACAACGACAACAACAACAATCCAGGAACTGAGTTCTGCCTACAGTCTGAGTGAGTTTGAATAAGACCCTGATCCAGGTGAGGCCCTTGCTCTCACTCATAGGACCAAGCTAAGTCTGACCCAGACTCCTGCCCACAGATAAAAATGGATATTGACCTAGGTAGAGAAACGTGTGCTAACTTACTACACAGCAATAGAAAACACTCCTTAACCTGACATCTTTGCTCCTGAACCCTTTAAAGAGGTCTTGAGCAGCAGATATGCCCAGTGCAACACAACATTTGATTTCTTGACTGCTGCTTCCATGAGTGCTGATTGTGGATCCAAGTAAAATGAAGTCCTAAACAACTTTAATCTTTTCTCTGTTTATTATGATGTTTCTTGTTGGTCCATTTGTAAGAACCAATAAACTAAAAGAA